CAGACCCGACCTCACAAAATTGATGTGCCCTTGATGCGGATTGTATCTGTGCGGTTTCGTTCCATTATGTAGGCGCCATCAGCAAGCAATATAGTTGTGAATCACTACCGTGTAGCTTAGTGCCAGAGGCGCGATAGTTTTCTGTGTATTAGTTGGTCCAGGAGACTGACTTGGTAGTGATCATTGGTCCAACATAAGCGGTAACTTAACATTGTTCCAGAAGCTACGAAATTCGCTCGGAAGTGGGGACCCTCAGCTCAGTGAGCCCAGAAAGCCAGATTTACGTTCACTCCTTCCCCTCCCCTCCCACCCTCCCCACGCGGTTCTCGAGTCTCTCTTGCAGAAGCATTTGAGAGAGTGCTCGACCTCACCTCAGCCAACTAACTACCGTGAGCCGAATACAGCTTTTATCTTTTAAATTCCAAGAGGCAGAGAAGCGATTCATTCGGTTATAGCTAATTTACCTGAATTTGTAATGATTTGCAGATTTTTATGTTTTATCTGTTTGTTCAATTTTACGTCTCATTTCTTCATGTTGTTTTGGAAATAATCCCCCTTTGGGCCTGCGATGCGGAGAGTTGGATCTCGGCAAGTTGGCGGACCTACTAAGTCGGTATCCGGAGTTCTACGTCGTCGCTTCCGCAGGAGCTTGCAGTGTGGCGGCCACTGCCCTTCTTGCCGACTTTCCACTCCCACGCAGCTTCAACCCTTGCTACCCATTTAATTTCGAGTTTTTTACTTGTTTCTGTTTCTTTCTTGATGTTGTGTTCTTACTAATGATATCCGATAATAAATCACAAATCATGAAATCTTTTTGAAATCCTCTATATTTGGCTCTCAATCAGTAGAACTGTGCGACTCAGTTAAAGGAGGATCACGATATGAAAGAAGGTCGGAGAAGATGAAATTTATCTAGTGGAGACAGGCGGACCCCCTAAGGTGCGGACCAACACACAATTCGCATCGAAGGATATGCCCCCGGCGATCTAACATGGCCTTCCCTTTGGCGCATTTGGCGCAGGAACGCCCACCGACTATCTAATCACTAGTCAGGTAGATACGCGGCGAGTGATTAGTGATTACGAGGTAAGCAAACCAGCCCTTTTGGCGTTTCTGCTGGGGCCGTATGCTGAATGTTGGGGAGGGGATGGGGTCCCCGAGGTCGACGGACTACTTGAACTCGGTCGGTACGGTAGGAGAGTGATGACGAAGTGGTGCAGCTAGGTCCAGCAGCTCCGCCAAAAGGGCTGGTTTGCTTACCCCAGGACTAAGCCTTGGAGAGAGGCAGACCTGCGCTCTCACTGCAGACAGGTCTGTTCTATCGTTGTTGCTTTTCAAAAAATTTTTACGATCCCGTCCCCCAACGTGGATTTGATACGACCCCCTTTTCCATACCCTCCGAAATTTCCCTTACTTCCACCACTTCAACCCATTTTTTCCCTATCCTCTCTCTACTCCGCCCTCCCTCACCACCCTACTACCCACGAAATCTTAGTTTCACCTCAATCCCACACGATTTCGAGCGACTAAAGTGGGTACGACCCCCCCTCCTACAAACTCAACCAGGTACGACCCCCCCGTTGTTACTCGTAACAACGTAGGGTTGACCCTGCTCGCAGGTCCGTCCTCTTTTTAAGGCTCAGCCCTGAGGTAAACATCAAATTGAGGCGTTTTCAAGGTTTCTGCTTACTTCAGTGATTAGATAGCAGAGAGAGCGTAGCGTTGAAGAGGGCACAACGATGAGAGTCGCATCAATGCGGAAATCAACGGGCAAGGAAGGGGTCCCATTTCTCGGGTTTCGGGCCGTTTCACATGGTTTCTTCTTCATCCCTGCTCCACTGACCACCTCTACCCTTATTTCCAATGAGCTACCTTTTCATCGTAAAATCTGCCTTTAATTCAACTAAAAATGTAGCCTGCTGGTCATAAGAGGAAGGTCTGCCACTGAAGCACCAGTAATATCAGCTTTCGCCCAGTCGCGCCATAACGAAGTGAGCAATAGCGAAACTTTGTTCAACCCAGCAAACAATACATGGGTGGGAACACTGTTGATTGGCCTTGCTTCGCGACATTTTTATTCCTTTCAAAGACTCAAGAATAGACAGGCTGCGTAAAGAATCCACAGAGGTCGTGAGCTAAAGCATTGCGCAGTTCGCTGAACTGTCCAAATGAGAACAAAGCGGTCAAAGCGTTCGCAAAGCAGTTAAGATTTCATCTATCAGCCTTGTTCCATAGGGAAATGGCTATGCAAGTGAACTCGTTATAATAAGATTTCAAGAAGAAGCGATATGATAATTATCATACAAAAACCTACCGTAGGCTTTGACAACCGGATCACTAATGGCTCTTCAAAGTCCGGTTCTCCCTCTTTGATCGTAGCCAAGTACACTTTGCCATTGCAGAGATCGCCGTTTACCTGAAATATACTTTTGTCAATTTAAAAGAACAGTTTATGTAAAACAGTAATGCTGCTGAAAAACGCACTTGCTCTTCGGCAACGTCTCGCTGTTGAGCTCGAACGCGCAGTTCTTCCACTGTCTCCATTCCTTGCTGACCATCCTCCTTCGCCTGAAAAATCGATTTCCTTAGAAAACACTCCTAGTTCTATGGCTAAACTGCAACTTTTCTTTGCGATTGAAGACAATTGTGAGGAAAAAGTGGGCTATAAGTGAGCCATAAGAGGAGGGGCGTCATTTCCGCACGAAGAATGCCCTCCTAAGTTGTGATGGACCCTACAAGGGAGGTCTTTCAGGGCAAGGTGCGCTTTTTCAAAACGGTTTTGTGCATATTGTAGGGACGCATGTAGGGAACGCAAAACCATGTTTCATTTTCGCTGAACGGTTATAGCAGTACCAAAAAAGAAGCATAAGGTACTGTTAAGGGTTCGATCCCCCGTGGCGACTAAATTTTGCATTTGGGTTGGCGCCTACGGTTTGGTGCCAAATCGCGCTAAATATCAAAATCAGATGTCAAATTCATCGTCAGGACCATTTTGAAGCCAACAAGTGGCCGCCAACCTTTGATTGCAAAATTTAGTCGCCGCGGGGGATTGAACCATCAAGAGTATTATTCACCACTTTTTTGGTACTACTAAAACCGTTCAGCGAAAACGAAACATGGTTTTGTGGTCCATACATGCGTCCCTACAACATGTACTAAACCGTTTCCAAAAAGCGCACCTTGCCCTGAAAGACCTCCCTTGTAAGTGCCTATCCGCGCGTAGCGACTAATAACTAGAGATTCTGAAAAAGAGGGCTTCTGCTCGACTTCTGCCGAGTCCGAATTGAATTAGTTCAATACAGAGCAATCGACGTTGATTTTCGTTCGTCTGAACTGCCTGATCCACTCGACCCAGACGGTGTTCGATCGTCGGGTCTACATTTGGCCAGCCCGTTTCCTATTGCACATAATTTAATTGTGTAATCAAAAGCTGTTCGATGCGGGCATAGGCAAGGAGCGGTAAAGTGTGAAGTTTATTGAAATATTCATTAAAATTCTTGTTCATGCAATGGTTTCCTCTCCAACTTAAAGGCCAAGTCCAGGATTTCAGTTTAGGAGTAATTCCCGTTAGGAATGAGAAAGTGATTTCGAAAGTGGAGAAAAGAGTTGACAGAAATTCTTCAAACTGCGGAGAAGAACATGTAAATGTACGCGCTGGACGAGCAGAGCAGGTAAACAATAAGGCGGCAGTCAAGACTTGAACGGTTTGGCGAGAGCCCTGTTAGTTTTGGTGACTGATGTGATTTCAAAGTCCTAAGCTCCTGCCTACAAGGAAAGGATCCCACCTCGACATGGCCTTTCAGGATGGGATGCATATTTCTGTACCAATCTTGGGACGCTGAATTCGAATCTGCCCTCCAAATCTGCTAAACGATTCTCTGAACGAAGTTGCGAAATCGTTTATCGGCGGAGAGTGCGTTCATGAGTCACTGGAGCGCGCAACGGGGATCGTTCAGAAATTCGTTAGCAGATTTGGAGGGCGGATTAGAATTCAGCGTCCCAAGATTGGTACAGAAATGCGCATTCCATCTCGAAAGGCCATGTCGAGGTGGGATCCTTTCCTTTAGTGGCGTATTTCTATGTGGGAAGGGGAACGGACTTCTTGCATGTACGCAGGTTAGCCACTCTAGCAACGGGGGTTGGGCTCCTGAGGATGTCATCAATAAGCACCTTACTAAAATCAAGGACATGGTAAAGATGGCGTTGCTAGAAGAAAGTGGCGACGCCTCACAGTCGCGATGGACTCTGCGAAGGCGCGGTATCAAAGCCGGAGAGATAAAGTAGGAAAACCGAAAATTCCTACCGTAACCTTCAGCCGAAGAAGACTATTGGGCTCCAAGAGTTTCTTGAGCCGCACAACACCACTTTCCGGCTCCACCTCAAGATAATCGTTCTGTTCGATAGAGTACCTGTGAATGTAATCTTTTCGACGATCCATTTCATTCGCTGACAGAAGAGATTATCAATTTGCTATACATTAGTAATTTGGTCGTCCAATATTTAATGGAGTAACAAAACCCGCTAAAAAGAGTGAGAGAAATCTGACCGTATTTTGGTTTTGTTCTTCATTGATTCGTCACCATCAACAGCATGCAACACGATGACCTCCTCTCCGACAGATTGAGCGCTGGTTAGCTGGACCTCCTGCGACAGATCGTTCTCGAATACCGGCGGCTCACTGGAATTCAAGAGGACCGAAATGAGACATTTTTCCCTTAGTGGGTAGATTTTAGTCCCCATTTATGATTTTTCTTCTTTTCTGGTTCACAAACAGTCGAACTGAGTTATTGTTGTATGCACTATTTCTATACTAATCACTCCACATGCTCAGGATCCTCTAGCCCAGCAGATGCGGTTTTGTATCTTTCCGACAATGGCGACGCTTCTAAAATAAGACTCTAAAACTGTGCTAGTGATAAGAGCTGTTTATCTCAGGCCAAAGGTTTGCTTTTCGCTTGGGCGAGACACTCTCAAAAGCCGTGGGTATATGTATGAGCAGCTCCGACGTGGGTAAAGCGGCTTTTCTTCCCTGAAGGTTGCCTCGCTGGAGGAAGAACCTCAAGGGAATAGGAAGCACGCAGGAACCTCGGATACCCCTTTCCGCTGAGAGGCTTCTTCCAAGTTCTATTTCGCATCGGTCCCCACGAAGTACCTATTTGCGGTTTTTGACCACTTGTGATCTTTCTTTCAGCGCCTAATGCCCACCTTATTCAGCTGATCCCGTGTGGATTTTCAGGAATGCTAGAGGCACAGTCGTCCATGGACTAATACTAATCTCCTGAGATAAGAAGACGGAGCTCTTCACAAGAGTAGAAGAGTGTGGTGTCCTTGCGACTTAAACACTAACCCTTGTCCTTGCGACGTAAAGGAGGATTTCACGATAAGAACGGAGATCGAAGAATGGGAAACTCACCTAATGGAGAGACAGATGAACCACCAAGGCGCTGCTGACCACGCGGCAATTCGCCATCGATAGGGTGTGCCCCGGCCGATCATCGCCCAATTTGGGGGGGGGCCTTCCGTTTGGCGCAGTTGGCCCGGAACGCCCATAGATATAGAAGAGTGAGCGATAGCATTGAAGAGGGCACAATGAAAGTAGCATCAATGCGGAAATCAAAGTGTAAGGAAGTAGAGTCCCATTTCTCGGGTTCCGAGCTGTTTCATATGGTTTCTCCTCCTCATCCTTACTACATATATTGACCACCACTACCCTTGTTTCCATTAGGCTGCCTTTTCATCGTAAAATCCGCCTTCAAGGCACGCTCTTTTCAGAGCCAAGCGCTCAAAAACAGTTTTATTTTGCTTCTTCGCTTTTGGTGCTTCAAATTTTCACCCTTTCTAGCACAACAAATCGCCCATATGACCGCAGAATATGCCCTTAACAATGGCTTTCTTCTTAGGAGACTTGAAAAAAACCTACTGAAAAAAACGCTCTGCAAATGTTGTTCTTCCTCATTGTGAAAGGATCAGCTTATAACGGTCGATACGGATGTGAATTTAATTATTGTTAATTTCAATTCCATCAAAGACGAAGTAGGCAAAAGCGAGCATAGCTCCCCAATTTTAGGCAATTGTTTGGGAAAAATTCAAGCTCCTTCATTTTGGCCCATTGTTTGGGAATAATTTACTGCTGCATCTCCTTGTAATACATCCAGTGCCCATTGTATAAATGCGATACTGAAATGAGTTCCCCTTCGAAATTTTTGACACTGTCACCGTAAAGGAGTGGAACGAATTATGTCGAACGATCATAATGGGAAAGGGTTCTTGTTTTATCGCACGGATTGCAGGTCATCTAATTTGGTGGTCACCCGCTATGCAGAAAAACGATGGTATTTGGATCAATCTGATCGGCGAGCAATGAAGAAAGCGCAACAGAATTTCAGCGTGCCATTTTTTGCCAAATTGTCTTATGCATTGTGATTTGATTTATTGTTAGCCAACCACGCCCTGCTCATTTCGGGGTTACGTCTCTCAAAAAGGACGAACTTATCTTCCCTAGCCAGGTCTTGGATTACTTGCCGTGCAAACCACTTACTCGTCCTCATCCGTCACATGGATGGCGATCATGTGAGTGGAAGACAGCGTTCGATTCGACAGCGGGTTACCATCTTCGGCCGTTATCAGAACATGGTGTATTCGCTGACTGAAAGGAACAGCATGGAAAAGTTTGATAAGGAAAACACTCAATTTGCCATAGTTTGACTTTCTGGATTATTCTAACAAATTGTAACAAATGCAATATGTAACAAAAAAAGCTTCGAATTATTAGCACTCAAAATCGATACCTATTTTGAAGTATACGCTCTTACAGAGTACTAGGAGCTCAAGAAGAAGATTGCTGTTTTACCTACCTCTCGAAATCGAGCGCTTTTGCTAGTCGTAACGTCGTGGAGCACTCCTTGCCATTGCACCTTGCCTTGTCAACGGTGAACAAGTCGCTCTGCAATCAGTGAAAAATATTTCGTTTCAAAGTATTATCCCCATAGCTACTGCAAGGGTCCTTTGCTCCTGGAACTGAGTGGGTGCCATAGTTTTGAGGATTAAAAACGAATCGAAGGTTTCTTCTTATCCAGAGATTCTTTCTAGAATCCTCTAGTCAAAGTGAACCGTCATAAGAAGTTAAAGGGCCTTACATGTACGGGTGGATAGGGGTTGGGGAGGTTCACTGTTCGCATTTGACTTCAGCTTCTTTTTAGGATCTGACAAAAGCGACAAGTTCTAAAGGGTCGCTTAATGAAACTACCACATACAGATATCAGATATTCAGATATCTGCACACCTTGTGTAATTTACGAGTGCGAATGATTTGAAAAGGGTTTTCAGCCGATCTTTTTTTTCCGAGAGAAAATCGTGCAGGAAAAACTATTTCGGCAAAGCTTAGGTTGTGCCTTATGAGCCCATTTGGGAACGCTACATTCTTTGTGCCAAGTTCATGTAGATGTTCGAGGAGTTAACGTGCGATAAATTCAAATCTTACGTCAACAGAAAACCGTGCCATGGCAGAAATTCCGGTGTCGGCATCTTTAGTGCGAAGTTTGGTGATGGCAAAGCCGATCGGTGCATTCTGTAATGGTAATGAATTGGAGAATTCCTCTACTCATCCTTCACTACGTCTAGAACGTTTGAAATGTGAAGGAAGGAACAATAAATACCGTAACTATAAATCTGAATGAATTCTTCTATTAGGTCGGTCCATAATTTTTGACACACTTTCGACTTGATTACTTATCTTATTTCTCTGATGTATTTATTCAGCATAGTATACATCACCATTATTACCAACATATCACCAATGCGAGGGTGGTATTCAGTGTCTCTCTTGTAGAATTTCATAGAGTTCTGATCGAAGAAAATTGGATGTCGATTTTGACATTATGGTGATTCAAGTGAGATTTCTTCTCCAGAAGGTGATTGAGAGAGGAGAGCGGATAGTCGTTCGTTGGCACAGGATTAGTGCTACAAGGCGGAGCTAAAAGAACTGACCGCCCGAGAGTCTCCAATTTTTCATGAATTTTCTTAGCAAGGTGGGCTCGAACGACCTCAGAAAAAAAGATTTTGTCTTCTTTGCTTTCAAGTTGAAGGCGTTGCCATCAAGCTGTCGACGATTATCTTCATCACTGACACTGGTATTAGTTGGTGCCGGTGCCGGCAAGCGCAAAGCCCCTCTTGTAGCCTGGCGCGTCCTAATATGGAGTCATGAAAAAAAGAGGCTCAGAAGTAAGTTTCGAAGAAATTGGAACCTAGCAAAGAAAGTGACAAGCAAACGAGGTGGCTAGCCTGTTGGATAAGGCGAGCTTGTGTGCCAATTGCAGGACAACCTTGAAAAAAACTAATATATGTATAGTGTCTCAAAGAAATTATGGACCGACCTAATATAAGCGATTAGCTACATACAGTATAACTCCACTAGCTGGTGAGCAGTATTGCCTGCTTTTTTCTAAGTAGCCTCGGACACGACCCATGTATGAAGTAAGCCGTCCGTACACCAGTATAGGAAATGGAATGGTCAAATGAGTGAGCCTTGAACGTCGTCCGTCGTCCTTCTTGCTTTCAGGTTTTCTTTCCCTC